TTTTCTTTTTGTAAAAAGCTATCCAGCCTTATTGCAAATACTTTTTCCAAGATTTTTGAAAACTGTGGCAGCAAGGACACTGGTCTATAATTTGAAAAGTGGTGCTTGTCCCCGTTTTTGTAAAGAGGTATTATTTTGGCTGTTTTCATACCATCAGGAAAGGTTCCTGTTTTTAGTGACAAGTTGCAAATGTGTGTAAAAGGCTCAATTACAGATTCAAAAATGATTTTAACAATCATCATGTCTAAACCATCATAGTCGGTTGATCTTTTGTTTTCACATTCATTTACAATTTTTCGTACTTCGTCTTGTTCTACATTGGAAAGAAAAATACTGTTCACATGATCTACTATTGTGTTTTCAGTGCTAGAGGTTGGCTTTGGAATTTGTTTTGCTATCGAGTCTCCTATACTAGTAAAGTATTTACAAAATTCATTTGATATGTTTATTTCGTTGGATATTTCAAGACTGTCCTTTACAAAATAATTTGGGTACACATGTTTAATTTTGTTGTTTTTCATTACATTATTTAATATTCTCCAAGTAGCTTGTGTGTTACTCTTGTTCTCATTTAGTTTATCACTGTAATATTGTTTCTTTCGGTTTCTGATGATCCAGATTAATTTGTTTTTATACTTCTTATACCTGTTTTCTGTCTCTTTCGATGGAGTTTTAATAAAACATTTGTATAGAAAGTTTTTCTTTTTACAAGCATTCTTTAACCCTTTCGTCATCCATGGTTGATCTTCCCTTTTGTTTTTTAAATATATGATTTTGCAATTTTTATCATACAATGTACTTATTGTTTCTATGAAGGCGTTATATGCTATATTGACATCATTTACATAGACCGCATCCCACTTCTGATGTCTAAGATCTCTGTTTAGTGCCTCTAGGGCTTTTTCCGACCTGTTTCTTCTTACAGTCTTTTCAAAACTGGTTGGTTTTGTGTTCTGATTGTGTTTAAATATTGCAAATATTGGTAGGTGATCGCTAATATCTGTTGTCAAAATTCCACTCATAATATGATCTTCATTCATATTGGTAAAAATATGATCTATTACTGTGGCACTTTGAGATGTTATCCTTGTAGGTTTTGATATTAAAGGAAAGAGGCACATGGTATTCATTGAGTTCAAGAAGTCACTTGCTATTTGTTCACTTGGGTTTCCTAAATTGATATTAAAATCTCCACATATAATTTGTCTCTTGTTTTTAGCTATTTCTATTTTTTCAATTATTTTGTCAGTAAAAACTTCGACACTGCTCTCTGGTGGTCTATAAATGCAACTAATTATTACATTTTTTCCTGACTTGGGTATAATTTCTAATGTAATCATTTCAATTTCATTATCTATTAAAGTCATTTCATTAACAGTCTTACATTTCAAATTTGATTTTACAAACAATGCAACTCCTCCCCCTCTCTTTAATTTCCTATTTATTGAAAAAAGTTCATACCCTTCCATCAGAACCTCAGCCATAATTCCCTCTTTAAACCAAGTTTCGGTTACAGCAATAATACTAAATTCATTTTTAAACTCACTTAAATAGTCCTTGATTTTAGAAAGTTTATTGTACATGCTGCGACTGTTTACATGAATAATGGACAAAGTTTTGTCTGTTATTTTCTGATTAACCACGTCCTCATTGTAGTATTCACAAGTATTTTTTATGTTAAATACATGTTGCTCTATATTTATATCAATATCATAAATTTTGTCTTGTTCCATGTTGTGTTCAGTGAATTCCAAATCTATGAAAGCTAGGTGTTAGTTTAATCATTACTCATAACAAGAAGAAAATAACAAAGAAACTTCAATCACACAATCTTTCTAGCTGCTCAGCTCTTCTGATGTAAATAACTCTGGCCTCCTCTGGTGTGCCGTTTGTCTTAATATAGACTTTACAGTTAGAGGTCCATGTAGCCATGATTTTACCTTGTTTTTTAAGAAACCTTGCTTTTTTAGCTATTTCGGCGTTTGCTTTTGTGAGATGTTCATTTATATATACGTTTGTTCCCTTTAGATTTCTTCCTTGGCTCAGTAATTCCCTTTTGTCCTTTCTATTTACAAATCTTACAATAACAACTGACTTTACGTTAGGATTTTGAGACCGCAGAGTGTGACATGCTTCAATACCATCTCTATTTACATAAATGTCCTTATTCTGAAGATATCTAGTCACCTGGGCTTCTATTGAAGCATTTTGCTCCTCGTTTTCTTCTTTCTGCGCCCCCTTCAGCGCGTGAGCATATGATGGTGGTTTGAGAGGCAGACCAGTAATAATTACATCGTTCATTCGCGTATATTGTTCCAAGTCTGCCACTCGTGACTCCAGAAAGTTGATTTTGTTTTGTTGCTCCTGGCTGAGCTTTTTTAGCTCGTGAATTTCCTTCACTAAGCCCACAATAGTCTCTTGTTGTTCAGCAATAATGTTCAATTGCTCACCCATCATGTTCATTGAGGCTTTTAGTTCTTCAATGTCCTTCTTTACCTCTTTGGCAGTCATGGTGCTGGATTAGTAATGAGATCTCTTGTCCCTCCGGCGTCAGTCTGTGTTTTGGGTTCTCCCTCGCGGATCCACTGTTGGCGAGCGGCGAGCTTAGCCTCCGTGGGTCCGCGGAAAAAAAACAAAACAAAAACAAACACCTTGCTGGGAGCAATAATCCTCTTTACTAATGTCGAACTTGATAGTTTTCTCTTTGATCGTTGATCTTCTTCAGGAAAGGTAGTAAAAAGACGCAAAAACTTAAAAAGTTAAGTAGAAGCCACGGGAGCTCTGTTTACGTCCTGCAACCCGGAAGATGTCAGGTTTTCTAAAGACCCGTCACTGGTTTGTGGTCTGAAAGAGACCTAAATGAAGTCGAGAAGTCTGACTTCTGACACTAGTGACCTGGAACCAGCTGCCCTCCTCCATAATCTTAAACTGTATTTGGAATTATTGGCTTTTTTTTTTTTACTATCAAAATGAACTGCTGAAATACATTGTCGGCTGGGAATGTTGTGGTAAAAGTAGTAATGACGGCAATAAAGTTGGATTTCTCCATCCCTAATCCGAATAGGGACCTGAACAAGTCTCAGCTGGCCTGGGAACGCCTCGCATTCTCCCTGATGTCCGGGCGCTCATGCTCAGAAAATACCTCAGGAAGAGGTGGCCGATTCGTATTTGTATGGTTCATTGTTTGTAATGAGAAGTGTACTCATTAATGTACGGCAAAAGTAACAGACATTCTTCTGAATTTATTACAAAACTGGCTGAAAATTCCACACTGTACTGAATATTTATACAAAGGCCTATATGTACACAAAATGCAGCAAAAATCCTTAGTACGGACACAACAAGCAAAATGTCACTTACTGATTTCAAAATATACATTCAAGTCCCCAGTGGTTCTATGAATACATTTTACAACGTTCAAGAATAAATAAGTCAAAATCACTTCAGATGATTAGGATGTAAACAATACAGTTACAGAATAAAAAAACTATCCATTGGTTGGAATTCAGTGCTATTTGAAATATATTATTTTTAGGCTTTTTTGTCTTTTCCTTTTACAGACGATAGGTTTTTATTCAGGAGAGTCCAAGTTCCGGGTTGGATCTTTGGAAAGGGGAGCCGGCTTTATGTAAGAAAGCATCGAATGAATATATACATTGATTTACAGAAGTTATTCTACGGAAATATACATGAAAAGTATATTAAAATGGTCACTTAGTTATGACAGTGCAAAACCAAAAGCACATTTGGCATAATATGGGACCTGCATTTTGGTAAAGTTATAGGGCTTTTGTACATTCGGAATGTTGCCCCTGTTTGTAGAGCTTTAGAAATGGTAAAAAGGATCTAAACATTCCACTGTGTTACATCCAATCTTTTAGTAAATGTACATTGATTGTGTCGAATGCTTCCAGCGGAGCCTTGTACTTAGGGTTGCCAACTTGAGAACAAAAAAATAAGGGACACCATTTGGGTGGATCGGGTTGAGCACTTTTTAGTCCTAATTTAAATCTACACAGTAATCCTGGAATTTCATAATCACAGTTTTTAGAATGTAATTTATTGACTACATATAAAAAAAACAAATCCTTACTAAAACATGAAATTGTCAACATTAAACAGCCTATGCATTAAACCCTTGGATGTGATCGAGCCTCCGCCCCCTTTGACACTGATTGGCCGAAAGGTAGACTCTTAAACTGTGATTACTGTGTGTGTGTGTGCAGCGCGTATGACATGCAGTGAATGATGCATTTAAGGTGGCTCTGAAAACACGGGACAAAAGCCGCCCTGAATCGGTTCAATACGGGACGCACATAGTTTTTCTATAATGCGGGACAATTCCGTATTTCAAGGGACGGTTGGCAACCCTACTTGTACAGAGCTTTCATCAAAGCGATGTGTTCCATGTCAACACCGTAAAGATGGCGGCTTGTTAAGGAAATAGATTGGGAGACACACCACGAAGAAGGAACATCGCCTGTTTATAGTGGACATGTATTGAAAGATTGTAATACTTCATGTTTTAACCATAGACTGTACATAGGGATGGACAGAGCTCCTGAAGCTTCATACTGACATTTTTGGTCATTGAAAAGTAAACGCCTCTAACTCTTTTGTTTTAAATTGTCTTTGCAAATCCAGCTATGACCAATCAGGCGCCCTCTAGCCCTGATATGGCTCTTTGGTTGCTGTGAGGTTGTTAAAATTCCAACTTGTCATTGCAGCTTGAATCTATGGGTGTGGTCAGATTCAGTTAGTCCTCTCCTATGATACAGCCTGTGGATTTAACAAAGCGATTCTGTTGTTAAAATCCTCAATCCAGGATATAATGTGGAGTTCATTGATTACGGCTTGTATCGCTGCTGTATGTTCCACTATGATTTGGTCCATCCCCACGCAATGAGTTCTGTCAGCCCTATTGGGTCAACAGTCTTCTGTGCAAACCCCGGCAGATGCAGGGAGAACATGCAAACTCAGGTGTTGTTCTTTGAGTGCTGTCAGCAGGAGGACGCACTGATCTTCTCCGACACCTCTGGATCTGATTTGGCCACGAGGAAGCGTAGTCGGCCCCCTCCCAGGCGGATCAGGTCAACAGCACTGCACACACACACACAGACACAGATGTTTCAAAACTGGATGTATTTTTTAAATATGACAGAAGATATAGGTGTATAACCCAGTGGTTCTTAATCTTTTTCTACCAAAAGGAACCCATATGTTTTACCTATGATGCGGATATGAGCGACCCAAACATCCTCTTCCTATCTTAGAAGTCGCTGTCTTAAGGACCGATTCCACAACCTGCACTCTGCGCCGCTCCTATGTGCCGGTGTTTCCGCAATTATACCGAACTACTCACTGTCTCCGCTGCAAGCCTCCAGGACGACAGAGATGCTCAAGCCCCAAAACCACAAATTTGTAGTGAAAGACATAATTAAAGGCTAGTATCTATGAGTTTCTTCATGGGTCTGTGCTTGAACACTTCTCAGCAATCTTTAACAAGGGGTTGCATTCGCTGCAGCAGTTGGGGAGCAGTGGAGTGCAGCTCAGGTCGTAGAATTTTTTTTAATTCTTTTTTTTGAAAAAAACAATTTGCAAGGTGAAAAGGTGTTGCTGAACAGTAATAATAATCGAATCAATGATTTTCACATTGTACACAAACAAATGACAAAGTGGTGCCACCTGCAGGTGAAAGCCGGAACATGTCATATCTGAGAAGTGTAGCAGGGCAAGACCAGGTTAGTACTGTGATGGGAGACCCTCTTAGAACACCCTGTGCCACAGTGGGGTAGCTGTGGCTGTAAAGTTGTCCTTAGGTAAGACACTTGACCCACATTGCCTAGTATGAGTCTGAAGCTGTGACTACAGTAGTAGTTTAATGCCACTGTAGAGTGAATATGGAGTGAATTTGCCAAGACTTTGAGTGATCAAAAAACACCAATGCCTTTTTACTATTATTATTATTATGACTATTAAAGTAGGTCAAAAACTGCCTGAAACATGACATTTATCTTGAATTTTGTAAATTGTCTTTGTCTTCAAATAAGATTTTTGCAAATCAGACAAGAAATTTCCCACTTGAAAAGCTGATGCTTGTATGAGTTTGCAACATTTTTAAGGGGCATGGATTGTTATTGTTATGTTTGCACGGCACTGCAAAAACAGAAGCACTGCAGATCTGATCACGGTGAGCCGTGTTGAGCCTTAGTACCTCTGATAGTCTGCTCCGATGAGGCTGGTGCCGTTAACAGCCAGAATCCGGTCTCCGATCCTCAGCCGGCCGTCAGAGGCAGCCGGGCCGTCCGGGATCAGAGTGCGGATATAGATCCCTGGGGCGTTCAGGGGAGTGTGCTGCAAGACCATGTCACACAAGTCAAAACAGCATCAAATACGGCAGTTATCACACTATATACACACACGCACACACACACGCACACACGCACAAACGCACGCAGGCACGCACGCACACACACACACATATAACATTTATACTGAAACGTTTTTTGACGATTTACCGCTAAAAATAGCCAAACTTCTCCCACACATTCAAATGATTGGCCCCAGTGAGTTTACAATCGCTTCACTACTTTCCGTTCGTAGTCACACTCCTTAAGCTTGCTGTCTCAATCCTAATATAGTATAGACACAGTTTAGATCAGACATATCGTAGTTATTCAGTAGTCCAATCACAGTTAGTGTCAATTTTTTTTTAAATGGAATCCTCCACTTGTGATCCCATCATATAAAAAAAAAACAATTGGTGCAAGAAATGAAATTATCTGATTATCTGAGTTGAATTAACCGACAGTTGAAGCTAATGGGCAAATGTCTACTTATAACTATAGGTCCTTACTTTTACCTCTACCTATGCCATACATTTTAATTATGTCAAAGCAGAAATCAACACGATACATTTTTAAACTAAAGAAATCAGACGAATTCTCTAGTTTAAAATATAAATCTTCTGAATTTGGCATAATCTCACTGATGTCTGCTGTCGTTGTGTGCTTGGGAAAGACACTTAACCCCACTGAAAGATCTCAGCTCCTGTGGACTAACCACCTGCAGGAGGATCAGTGAGGGGCTGGTGCTCTGTGTGCTGGGCGCAGCTCTGACTGCCACCCCTCGACCCAGAAATGGATTAAGGGGAAGAAAATGGATGGATGGATGGATAAAATCTTAAATATAACCACCCTAACTATGTCTTGGTCTATGGTCTAATCTGACATATAGGCTTTTGATAAAAGCAAAAACAGCCTATACATGAGTTTAATTTAGCGTGAAGAGACTCACCAGGCCGTCGATGAGTCCCATGCCCAGGCCGTACGGTCCCTTGTCCAGCTCCACTACAAACACCACACACAGGTCGTCAGGGAGAGGGGAGGCCCCGCACGAGGACACAGGGAAGGGGAAGTCTGCAGAGGGCACACCACAGCACAACACACTAGGGGACAAACGTGTGGGGAGTGTGGGAGCGGTGTGCACTAAAGGGAGGGGACCAGGGAGTGTTCATGCCTTATGATGGGGGTGGGGGCTGCGCCTGAAGCTGCAGCATGTGTGGACAAGGTGATGATTTCCTAATGAACTAACGACATGACCAATGAACAGAAGTGCAATGTGAAGTCTAGATGGGCGGTAATCAGTTCCATTGTGACCTGCTGACTTTGCCACCTTCAAAGTTAGAAGTACAGTACGTGTTGCCATAGTAACGTGCACACAGGAAATTTGGACAAAAGAGCAACGCAGGGATTTGCGCGCTAAAGTGTTTTGCGCAACAAGTCTAATTGTCCACAGTAGTAGCAGCCGACGCGCTCTTGGCTGACGAGACGTAAGCTAAATAAAATGACTTACTAATTATTAAAACGTTGACAAAATAAAGCAAATAAAAGACGAATGTGTGCACACAGCCAAAATGAGCATGTTTCACAGCCAGTCTTTGTTGTGAAATATATATGGGCCAATTACATCCCTCTATGTCAGTGCTTCTGAATTTTCTTCTAATAGGCCCCCGGAAGATAACATTTATCAGAAACTTCCTGAGACACCCATAATCCACGTCTGTTTCTTACAGCAGTGTATTGGTCTCCAAAATGCACCTACTGTATCTCCCTTTCTCCACTACAAAGCGTTCTGTGAACAAGTTTCCTGTTCTGCACATTTGAGTAACACAGAGCACGCTTAGCTTGAATATCACGGCCACAGTGCATTAAACCACCATGATCAGTGATCTGAGCCATATAAACCCCTCAGGACTGTATTTTCTTTGTAAACTACAGCATTATCCTCGTCTTTCCTTTTTGGAGCGATCTGAACTGTGGGGGTTGAATTGTCACACACAGGCGGACAAGATCCACCAGTGCGCACTTTCGGACATGGGTGTGTTAATTATAGTATCTGAACTTTAGAAGTTTATAACTCAAAAACTAAATTTACTATCATTAAAACACAGAAAAATCAAAGCAGTGTGGATAAAATCAAAAGGAAAAATTTACATATACATTTTTGGCAAAATTTGAACCAACCAGATCAACCTCGGATTTGATAAGTCAACTGTGACGCCAGTTACATAGAAAATAAAAGAATAACAGAAGTGATGGTTTCAGTAATAAAAATTCTAAAATTAATTAATTCGTTTTTTGTTTGTTTGGTTTCCTCTCCCAAGTGGCATTAGAAGGATGGGTCAAATATAGTTTTACAACAAATACGTGTTGAAAATATGCAATTCTGGGTTAAGATGGGAAATAATCTTATTACATCGATTGAAAGGCCCAATTAATATATCAAAGACCTTATACAAATGTTGTTGAATTAGCACAATTGCTTTTGAACTATTTATATTGGGGTCTCCCTAATGGCGCATGTAACATGTACCTGTTAACTCTTTAAACATGATAGAAATACACGAGTTAACTCGGGGCAACACTAAATAAACAATGACATATTTATGAATATTATCATTGTGTAAGTCAGATCCTTCAGCAGTGATGCTACAACCCTACGGTTACCACAAAGTGGGTCTGTTGTTATGTGATGTAAACTTGAATTGAACTATTCTGAATGAACACAAAAGACACTCCACTGCAAACAAGTACACATACAGTACATAGATATATCCACACACACACAGTTGCAGTGGCCGTACCTTCCAGCCCGTTGGGGATAAGGCCGTTTGCCGTCTTGCAGTCACTCCTGGGGGGGCATCCATTGGGCTGCAGGCTGTGAGGTTTGTTTGTCGCCTGGGCTGGTGCCCCTCCCTCGGGGTATAAGGGTGTGTGCGGGGGGGTGAGTAGGCAGGACAGTTCTTGGTTGGGGGCTTTCGGCTGGTGCATGGTACCGTTCCTCCTCAGACTGTGTGTGTGATGGGACACTCTGTGGTCTTCTGCGGCCTCCACACCTCTATCATCCCCCTGAGCTCCAGAGCGAGGGCTGCTGTGCACAGGCTCCCTCTGCACACACACAAACACACACGTACACGTGTTCTTAAGACACAAACAATGTGTGTATGTGCTATGTACAAAAACTGAAGTGTTTGGAGGAAATGCACTGAGACATGTGCATAACATGCAAACTCCAAACAGAAAGGTTGAGCTGGGCCAACACTGGTGGCGCCTGCTCTGTGTGTTGTCAGTGAATGTATATTTGTACATATGAGGGTGCAGTAACACAGGGATTATGGTCTAGTCAGCCGTGCTCACTAATGAGACAGCCTCACCACTAATCAGATTAGCCGGCTTTATCTATGTCTCGCTTGTGTGTGTGTGCGTGTGCGTGTGCGTGTGCGTGTGCGTGTGCGTGTGTGTGTGTGTGTGTGTGTGTGTGTGTGTGTGTGTGTGTGTGTGTGTGTGTGTGTGTGTGTGTGTGTGTGTGTGTGTGTGTGTGTGTGTGTGTGCGTGCGTGCGTGTGCGTGCTGCCTGGAGTAGAGGTTTTCATCTTTCATTTATGGGATTTCAGAGAACTCCTCCACACTTAACCCACATTAGACAGTTGCAGAAGAGAAGTAAGGTATGTGTGCTGCCTCTGACCTGCATGTCGGGGGCCCAGTCGTTGGTGTTGGTGCCGTTGGACTGCGTGTGTCCAGTGGGGGCGCTGTTGTGTGTGTGTGTCTTGGTGCGCAAGCCCCACAGGTAGTGTCTGATGTACAGTAGCTGTCTGTAGATGCTGTCCTCCACACAGTCGCTGTCCAGGTCGACTCTGAAGCCGGAGCTGGGCAGCACGATAGGGGGGTGGTTCTCAAAGCTCTCCAGGAGGTCCACTGCAGACACATACCAATTTATTGCATTCACAAGTGCAAAAATTCATCCAAATCAAGTAGACAGAGAAAATTTAACTATTGCATTCCGTTGCATCTGAGAGAGACAGTGACCAAGGTTTCTCGGTCAATCACCTTCTATTATGCTTATGTCAGTTATGGTCATGATGGCCACAATGAGGCCCATGGCTTTCACTCAAACATCCTTGTTATTTATCTGGTCTAGAATAGACAATAACTAACTATAGCACGATTATCTTCCCAACTCTCCGGTAAATTAAATAAAAATATAATATATTTTCAGTTAGTCAGATCTGTACTGACTCACTTTGATAAAATAGTGTTCAGTTATCAGTCGCAGTGGCTGCTGACAAGTACAAACACGTCAGTAATGGTCATGCCCTACTTCACAGTCTGATCGTTTTACCCGAACACCGTAGAGTCCTGTTCAGCCCGTCTCTAGACTTACCTGGCTCACATGTGTTATTCATAAGACAGTGATGGTTACCAGTGTGACGTGTTCAGGACACAGTTCTACATCCCACATTCAATTTAACATGACATTCAAGGTTTTAAATTCCTCAAAAGGATGACTTTCACAAGAAATTCACAAGAAGGAGTGCTGTTTATTAAGGCTACAAGAGTAAAGATCATTAGGTTCATCCATAATTGTACAGGCCACAATAATATGGTACAGAGAAAATGTTATTTTTATGTCTATGTGCAGCATTTACAAATTATTATTCTGCTTTTATACACAGTTGGATTTCATAAAGTTACTCACAAATATTAAAAAATATTTTCTGAATGAACTATTTGAAGTAAAGTATTATTTTAAAAGATTTTTGTTTTGATTAAAATTATGTTTTTGTGTTTCATCATACCTGTTACATATAATTAACAATATGAGAGAAAAAAGATTTAAAAAAAATCTTAATACAAGCATTTTAAATATATTTACAAAATAGTATGTAAATACACACAAAAGTGATAATATTTGTGGAAAATAAGTTGGGTACTCCAGCTACCTAACTTGTTAGGTAATTTTAAATTAAACTAAATTCAAAAAAATTTATAGTTGTGGATTCCTCACCATCAAACATGGGAAATGCAGAATTAACAATCACGTACTCTCTTTAGTAAGTAGTAAGTAAGTAATCTTTATTTATATACACCGCCTTTCACAGACCAGAGTCACAAAGCGGTTTACAATTGTTATTTTTGGGCACTTGTCTCTCACTCCACACAGAGATGGGAGCGGGGTCGCCGAACAGGAGGCGCATGCCAGACCTATTGTACATATTTTTAGTGGTAGGGGAAACCGGAGTGCCCGGAGGAAACCTACGCAGACACGGGGAGAACATGCAAACTCCACTCAGAAAGGCCCTGGTCCGACCGGGATTCGAGCCCAGGACCTCCTTGCTGAGAGGCGAAAGTGCTATCCACTCAGCCACCGTGCCTTTACCTTTTCCATAGGTAACTAATCGCAAACCTGACAATCAATGAAAATACTCTTTGCTATTCCTTCTCAACTCGCTACGGGGGCGTGAACGAGACTGTACCGTTCATATACCTCTGGGCGGGGGGCTGCTGACGTCAACCTTTACTGCAGACGTCAGGTATCACTACTGCGCCAGTGTTGGCGCCGGATTCAAAATTCAAATATAGTAATACAGGTCGCATGCATATGGTGCCTCAGACGGTTTTAAGCAGAAAGTTTAACTTTCAACTAATTTGCACCAAAGTGACAAAATTATGACCAGGATATGTAGACAACACTATTGGACAGACATGTATACCGTTTTTCAGCAAAAAAAGTGGATTTGAGGGTGCGTTGTCCTTTAACAAGAGTCTTCAGACTGGATATGTCCCTGCCCGCTGGAAAATCTCCTGCCTGGTACCCGTCCCCAAGGTAGCAAGGCCAACAGGATACAAGGACTACAGACCAGTGGCACTAACATTTGTCATAATGAAGACTTTTGAGAGGCTAGTACTGCGACTGCTCATGCCACAGGTTGAACAGGCTCTTGATACCCTGCACTTTGCTTATCAGGAGAACATGGGAGTGGACAACGCGGCCTCTGCATGCTCAATCAATCCGTGTCCTTCAGTACAGAGTACAGAGAGGTGGTGGCTGCCTTCTCAGACTGGAGTGAGAGAAATGGTCTGATTCTCATTGCGTCCAAGACCAAAGAGATGATCATTGACATTCACAAGAGCCCTTCCCATCTACCGGTCACACTAAAGGGACAGGACATCAAAGTGGTGCAGTACAGTCCTAAAAATACCTGGGAGTCCATCTGGACCACAGACTGGACTGGACAGGCCAATGCTGTCTGTATGAAAGGTCAGAGCAGACTTTTTTCTCGAGATGACAGCGGTCCTTTGATGTGAGCAGTCAGATGTTGCACAAATTTTACCAGTCTGTGGTAGCTAGTGCCATGTTCTTTGGGGTGGCATGTTGGGGCGGCAGTCTGAACTTGAGAGACAGTAACTGACATGACAGGCTGATCTGTGATGGGAGAAGTATGGACTCTGTGGGAGCTGTGCTCGAGAGAAATGCAGGGCATCCTGGGTAGAGACACCCTCTGCATGACACTTTGGCCGCTCAGAGGAGTAATCAAAGCAACAGGCACCTATCACAGTGCTGCCGAACGGAACGTTTTAAGAGATCCTTTGTTCGTAGGATGATTCTGGAACAACTGCACTACGAGTGCGTTTCTAATTGTCTCAGTTTATTGTAAACAAATTGCAGCATGCCATTCCTCACATCCTATTTAATCACCACAAAGAGCGCTTTTCCTGTGATAGTAAGATAGTAAATTATCTCTTTATAACCGCAAGAGCTGCTTTTACAACATATTTGCACTGGAGCTCGGGACTGGGGAAAGACTTCACAGCAAATTAAGATGAAATATGAGGTATTAAATGCTACACTCTGTCTTAAATTTGTACATTCTTATTACAAGATTTTAATGGGACACGCCATTTAGTATAGAATTTTTTTCACATTCAGGGAGACATTTCTTGTTCTTTTTAAAACAATATAATTTTGCCTGTCCCATTGGCAAACCTCGTTTTAAGGCAGTCATAATACGCTCAAATTAAGATACATTTTTGCCAAAATAAAGACATTTCTAGACACAGTTTTCATCACTTATAGCAGGTTAACTTAGTTTCTCTACTGTCGACCTGAGTTTGGTACCTGTCCTGTAGATGTAGGGCTCATCCTCTGTACTGGGCTGCCACAGAGGCACTGGTCCCAGCTCGGCCGTTTGCTGGTACTGACTCAGGATGCGGTGCAGCTGGACGGCCTTCAGATTGGGGTGCTCACTGGACAGTGCGCGCCAACTCATCTGAATCATACATATTACCGCAACATGTTACCGCAATGGGCAAACGCATTTATCAATATGGAGGAATATTTTATGTGTCTGTGGAAGGTTCTTTTAGGTTATTTATTTCAAGCTTATCTTTCATGCAATTTAAGACAATAAAAACAAGATACAAAATGAAAAGCTATATATTATTTGGCTATACATTTTTAAACACTAGGCTCCAACCCCTCTCACTCATTCTACAACACACACACATACACACGCAAAGACACACACTCTAATTTTGTATCCTCTTATGCCGCTTTTCCATAGTCACGGCACGGCATGGCACGGCACGGCACGGCACGGCACGGCACGGCACGGCGTAGTGTGGGTGCTTTTCCATTAAAAATGGTACCTCCAAGTATCTCTTCAGCGTGGGAGGGGTTGTCAAACCACGTAGTTTATGCACAACGCGTAACATTGGTCTGATGCATCATTTTTTGTCATTTGAAATAAAATGTCTTTAATCCCGAGTTCAATACATAACTTAGATTTACAATATACATGTCATTTAAATAACTAAGTACTGTACATTTCAGTGAGAGCTTTGGGCCAACGTAGCGATACGTAGCTAACCAGTTATTTCCAGGATTACCACAGACTAGTCACAAATCCAGAGCTGGGTGATCTCCCTGAAAACCTTGTTCCGTGTTGAGCCTCGAGCTGCCTTTGAATTCTTTCTTCGGCCTAAAGAGAGTAACGTGTGGAACTCGTCCACCGACCAGGATGCTGACTTTTGGGGCTTTCTGTGCGATTCCATTTCTCTGGAGTGAGGAGGACGTTATTAAAATAGATCCATAGGAGGATGTATTGAAGCAGAGCAGCCGGTTTTAAAGATGGCGGGGTTGGGTTGGTTTTCCCAAAGGGTTGGACGTCGCTTCCAGTGACGACACTCGTTGACCAATCAGTGCAAGGCAGTCGGCTGACGTCACCTCATGGTATTGCTTCGGCGCGGATGGAACCACAGTCGAGGTGGTATGAAAAAGATCCCAAGCCCAACCCTAGTGGAAATGCAAAATAGCCGCGCCTTGCCGTACCGTACCGTTACTGTGGAAAAGCGGCATTAGTCTGTAATTATGGTGAGAATCTATCATGGAATAACATTGTTTCAGAGAGTTTCCAGAAGTTCTCAGAAAGTTTTATTCTATGAATAGTAGAACAGTTAAAAACAGATTTGCCCCTGATTCAGATTCAGATTCAGATTCATTTATTTGCCATCAATTTAACGTATTGATTAAGATTAAGAGATACTTTTTTCTTGAAACAGTGGGGAAATTTCAGTGTTGCATCACAAGTTACAGAACAAGAATGAGGAGCACACAGCAAAAGATAAGTGAACAATAGCTATACTAATTAAAATAAAACAAAAAGTCCAACTCGAGCATCAAAGAACAAGTATAAAATCCCTATCTTGAACATAATAAAGAAGAATCAAAATTTTACATTTGGCAAAATAAGAGGGAATACTGTGTATTCTAGTGGAAGCAATATGTTTTTATATGTTAGCATCTGTACTTGTTAGCAGCAGTATGTTTACACATAAAGTTCAATTGAGTCTGGTAGATCGAAACGAGATCTCCTTGTGCCATCAAACTGTAGAAATTCAGAGTAAAAGGAAAAATAGATTGCTTTACCTGTGTGAGCTGCTGGGGGGCGGTGGCCAGCACGGACACAGCACTGTTGAGTTTGGTGAAGAACTTGTCGGCCAGATGCCCTAGTTTGGAGCGACTGGCCCACTCCATGAGCATCCTCAAGCAGGCCTGGATCTGAAGCACTTTGGACCTCTGGAACCACCCGCGGGATGGGCCTGCACAACACATTATGAATTATGAATTTACAACAAAACAACATAATAATACAAAATAATGCATCAGCGCTTTTTTGGACACAAAAGACACTTCACATGTCATCACCAGTCAACAAGACTTGATTGGGCTAAACCATGACAAAAACAAGGCAATGGGAAATAGTTCTGTATGTTTCTGTGTGGATACAGATATAATACCATTTACTGTGACTTATGTTTTTTAAGTATTATGATTTACTATTTCCTTTCCTGTGTAGAATCAAAGTTTCAGTTGCCTTGTGTAATAATTTCCTTGCCTACAGATTTGGTGTTGGTTGAGCCCTAATCTGATTGTTTGAAGAAACTTCATGCTGTGGTGAGCTCATAGATAAATATCAGAAGATCTGGTGTTGTACGGCCTTTTTATCTGATTATTTTTGGACCAACACACCGGCTTTACCTCTTGACCCCTTGAGACCAGACTGTCATCATTTGCTAATTACATTAAAGGAAAGCAATGTACATACCCTGTGTTCTCTGTCTTGTATGCAACATCAACATGCACTGACAGTAAAACAAACACATAAAAATTCAGAATGGATCACAGCAAACTCAAAAACATTGAATTTCACAACATTTTTATAATTGAATGCTAATGCGGCATTATGAGTACTAAATCAGGGATACGTATTACATAGTGTCCTTTAGGGATTCCAGCTTGAACATTCAGAAAATCCACAATGACCTACAGTAATCCATTATTATTGCAATGTTATGGTAAAGCAGAATTCTCACAGTAACTTCATGCGTAAGCTGATACAAAGTGGAAAAACAAGATGGGTGTCACGATTTCGATTTTTTATCAAAATCGATCAATATTACGTTAAGGTCTTGAGCGTCAAGGAGAGGATCGACGATCGCTGAAGCGCTTAATGCGTCTGTGCGGGTGTGCCCAGCAATTGATCTGTTAATCTGAGTGTTCTATCCATGCCAAATGTGACATGTAAATTTCTCCTCTGTGAGATAAATAAAGCACATCTTATCTTATCTTATATATTGTGTTAGCAGTGCGTTGCTCTTGTACCATTTAATCAGGTGTTGTTGTACAGCTTACAAGAATTTGCGCTAATGCTAATGTTTGCATATGTATCAGATTGCAAACAAAACTAGGTGGCTCCATGGGATGAGAGCGTAGGGGAAATGAGAGACTTGTGAGCGAGTTGGGGGGCGGTGCTAAACATTAAAACCTTGCAGAAACGGGTATAGCTCCTTTAATGCAATATGAAGCATCAACCCGCCTCCATCAATATCCCACATCCAAACCCACCTTGGCCCCCTCTCTTCAAACATCACTCCCTCCGCCCGTAACCTCGGTGTCATTTTTGATTCACCCCTCATCTTCTGCTCCCACAAAAAAAAAAACACCCAATCCCACTTCTATCACCTCCGCACCATCTCAAAGATTAAAAACATCCTCTCTCCTCCCGATCTCCATAAAGTTGTCAACGCCCTCATCTTCTCCCGCCTCGACTACTGCAACTCCCTCCTCTCCAATCTCGACGCTAAATCCCTCTCCCGCCTCCAACTGGTTCAGAACACATTAGCCAGACTACTCACTGGTTTTAACAGAAGGGAGCACATCACCCCTGTTTTAGCGTCTCTCCACTGGTTGCCTGTGCGTTTGAGAATTGATTTTAAGATTTTACTGATTACTTTAAAAGTTCTTTCAGGTCTGGCACCCAGTTATATTTCTGAACTTATAACCCCCTACAAGCCCCCCCACAGCCTCAGATCCTCGGGCAGGTCCCTGTTGACCGTTCCAAGGTCGAGGCTCCGGACGAAAGGTGACCGAGCCTTCTCTGTCCGGGCTCCTCGGCTTTGGAACGACCTGCCCGAGGAGATAAGGCTAGCACCATCAGTATCCTCTTTTAAATCACTCCAAACCCACTTTTATCAAACAGCTTTTAACTTTTAGTTTTAAACTTCCCATTCTGTATTTTAATGTCTGCTTTGTCTTTGTTGTGTCTCTCTTCTTGTGTTTTGCTCTGTCTGCTTTATTTTCCTGTATCTTTTGTTTTCTAATTATTTTGACTTTGCATTATGACTGTTTTATTGTTTATCATGCTGACTGTGCAGCGCTTTGTAAACATTGTTTTTAAAAGTGCTATCCAAATAAAGATTATTATTATTATTATGAAGCAAGATTTTGATGGTTCCATGTAGTTATATGTGGGTTTTAAGGGTACATTTTTTGTGTATAGTTTGGTTTAAGTACTGGTTTAACTGCTGTCAAAAACTACACTAAGCAAGGTTGCCAGGTTGGGTGGTTTCCCGCATACTTTTGGTCCAAGCGGGTAGTAGGAAATAAATAGACAAAAAGATAATACACAGAATCATGATTGTCTAAGTTGAATGCATTATTTTTTTCACCAAAAATAATTCTGGGTGTTTTTTTTTTTTTGGGGCATTTTTGCGGGTCTTAGGCAGGCAACCCATGGGAGTTGTGTGCTTACTCGTGCGCGTCAATGTGAGTCAACAATTTTTTTCAAAGCCCTGCTTTCTGAAATACATACCTTATCGAGAAATCCCACCAGACCCTTGTGTGAACCTCAGCAAACTGCAAGGGTCTGGCAAGAGCCAGGCTACCTACATGCCACTACAAACTAAATTCACCAGGGCTACCCAGGAAAGGTCCCTATTTACCTCAACATTTACAAAAGTGACTCATCCTCAGCTGTAAGAGAACCTCCAGCTCTCGCAAAGATTTAATGGGGATTTGATTGTCACTTGTCATCCAGGAGCAGAGGTAGCTGAAATGCTTCACCCCTGCTAATGTTTTGGCCTTTGTGTTCCATACGTCGATGAGCTTTGAATGGGTCTTGGGTCGCCGGGTCTTGGAGTACATTTACTAAGTTATGTTTTTAATACAACATGTCTGTTGCCGATGGGTCACCAAAGGTCAAACCTGGCAATCGGCTGAGAGATTTTGGGGGCTTATATCTAAGTCACTACCAGAGCATCCATAATGGTCCCAAATTTTACCATATGTCTCCCCTCTGCCACGGCCCTAAGAGGCTTAAGTCTGAGCGTAACCTAATCTAGGACCCCACACTTGTAAGGACACGTGTGGTGAACTATGGTGGATTTGTACCGTGTTCATTTTTGTGTTTATGTAATGAAGCAAAGCAAAAGCTCATGTAAATATGTTTGTGTATTTGTGTGCGAGACTCTTATCAGTCAGTTCAAGGTTTCTCCATCATACTTGCAGATGCTTTTACTGTCACCGCCGACAGGATAGAGCCCATTGTGGTTAGCTGTCAAAAGCTATTGCTAACTTAAGCCAACTTGTTCCCAAAGTCTTCAGAACCGCATGACGTGTTAGTTTAGTTTTTCTTCAAAAGCATCAAAATAAATTGACTCTTTGATTAATCTCACCCAGTATTTCTTTGTGTGAGCTGCAGCACCTCTCCTTATCTCCACATCCTTCGAACCCACATTTTGTCCGTGTAGAAAAGTGACACAGAGGTGTGTTTGTAGTCGTTTCTAGTTACATGCATGCAGCATTGATTTATGGTATGGTGAATACACTTGACAAAAAATACACTTGCCACGCTTTTCATTCACATTCTCAGAGCTCACACTGTTTACCCCAAGGGGCCCACACACAAACACACACACACACGTTAACCACTAAGCTACTGCACATGGGAGAAAGACACATCTCACACTTGTACACATTGACCCTCAATTAATTGCAGAGATTTATGATTGAGCTGGTTGGCGCACAGTAGCTTAGTGTAAACAGGAAGAGAAAAGGAAAAGGACAAGCTAATGCTGCTTTCAGACCGCCAACGCTGAAACGCTGAAGCCTCGCTCACCAGACGCACATTCTCTAGTTTTCAGACGCAGGGGTCTTCGGACCAGAAGTCCTAGCGCGCCTGAAGTAGCAGGCGTACTTTGATGCTGACAGAGTCAAGCTTGCGGCTTTTTGTGTAAAGTTCATCTCCAATAAGGCAGCTCTAGTAAGTAAGTAAGAAAGTAAGTAATCTTTATTTATATACCGCCTTTCACAGACCAGAGTCTCAAAGTGGTTTACAATTGTTATTTTTTTGGGCATTTGTCCTCTCACTCCACACAGAGATGGGAGCGGGGTCGCCGAACAGGAGGCGCATGCCAGACCTATTGTACATATTATTAGTGGTAGGGGAAACCGGAGTACTCGGAGGAAACCTACGCAGACCTGGGGAGACCATGCAAACTCCAATGGTTTGTGAAAACCATTGTGACAATGCCCTGTATTTTTTTTAATCATTGCATTTCCTGTGTTTTAACGGTTTGATTCTCTGATCTGTGTTGCCGAATTCAACGGTTTTGTAAATTGCTCCGAGATAACTACTGTTGGGAGTTATGGCTATGGAAAAATAAATTAAATTGAATTGAAAATAAATAGAATTTACAATCTATTAAGCAATATGAATGTGGAGGTGATTGTAGCCACATACAGGCTGAGAAACCCAAAGCCTGATTTAATAATACTAACACAAATTCCTTAGCAATAAGAAATGCAATGGTCAAAAGTGCTGAAGTGCATAGTATGTGACTACCTGACTGTCCTACCTAACTAGGACATCAATTTGCACTTGACTGAAGCCTGGTATAAACCCATTGTGATCTTGTCCAACCATCAAATGTGAAGCTGGTGAGAGTATGTGCTTGGCTGGCAGTGCGTGTGCTGGGATGCTACGTCAGCGCTTACCTGCTAACCCTCACTTTCCCCGTTACCATAGACACCCGGAGAGGGGAAGAGGGAGGTACCATTATCAATACGGCCCGCGCCACAACCCAGACACAAGCATCGCAAGTCCACTCAGGGAGCAGGGATTTGATCTGTGCTGTCTGCTCCGGCTAATGAAGACATATGGAGTGAGTGAAAACGGTACCTGTGTGTGAATGGGATGCAAGGTAAAGGCGACAGGAGCAATTGTGTTGACAGACTGTGGTTTAGTCAGCTGTTTTGGGTA